ATCCTAGGCTGCCCTGGGGACTGAAGAGGCCCCTGGTATCATCAGAAAGCCATGGGGGCCTGTCTGAGTTACAGTAACCTCCCCAGGCTGTGCTATAAGCTGTAGTGCTGCCTGGACTAGCCTCAGCATTGCAACCTGCCCTGAGACACAGCTTCAACCCTGTCCCCAGCATGCCAAGATTTGCAAGGTGGTTCTTGGAAAACAGCCTTATGACTTTCTTCCACACTGCCTGTGCCTGGGAGATTCTCCCCCATCAGGAAACAAATCTTTTAAGGCCCCTTCAGACCACTCAGGCCCTCACCCCCATGTCTGCCCTGTATGCTGGGTAGGAGGGCCTGAGTGGTCAGACAGATCTCACCCCCTGTGTTCTCATGGGTAGTAAGGGCACTACGCTGTCTCAGACATTCATATTTTCATGTGTAGCCACATTTAATCTAAGGGAATCACCTAAAAATAAATTATATTTTTTTAAAAACCCTGATCTGTTAACAAGAGCACCCCACCAATTAAACATGTAAGTAAAAAACCATTCTAAATAGAATGTAAGTAGAAATGATTACACTAAGTACTACATTGAAGCAGTAATGCCCTCTCTAGAGTATAATTAATAACCCTATAGAGAAGCCAAGGTTCTTACTTGCCAAACTGGTCTGTAATCCCTGATAATGTCCCCTCTAGAGTGGTTACTAAGCGATTTGTCCAATGCAGTGTTTGTAAAGCCCTATGAAATCCTGTATATCTGAATGATGCCATAAAAATAGCTTTTATTAAAATGAGACATCAAATTTAAATAAGCTTTCATTTAAAAATGTGCACAAATATTTTACTTTTGACTTAAGTCTACTGGAAGGCCAGTCACTGTGACTTCTGGAATTTATACACAGGGGAATTTATTAATAATATACAGGGGAAAGGTCTTTGGTGGTAAGAAACCTGTCATGCTTGTACCATAAAGTGACCTGATTTTATCAGAATTTAAAATCAGGTCATCTGTTATATAGTAGGAGGGATGGGATAAGGGATGATGCCTCACAGCTTTATAAATAAATAAAAAGTGTTAATCATAGCCCTGTTAATACACTCCCATTATTAAGATAAAATTGTTTGACAATTTTTCTTTCACTCTTAAAATTAATCAAATACAGTCTTGCTAATCCCAAGCATTCAAAAATCATGACTTTAAAAAAAATTTAATTTGCCTTCTGGTATTTTGAGTCTTTATGGTTCACATTTTCAAGCTTTTTCTTGTTTCACTCAGAGGTAAGTGGAATGTCTCACTCAGGGTATGTCTACACTACGAAATTAGGTCGAATTTATAGAAGTCGGTTTTTTAGAAATCGGTTTTATATATTCGAGTGTGTGTGTCCCCACAGAAAATGCTCTAAGTGCATTAACTCGGCGGAGCGCTTCCACAGTACCGAGGCAAGCGTCGACTTCCGGAGCGTTGCACTGTGGGTAGCTATCCCACAGTTCCCGCAGTCTCCGCTGCCCATTGGAATTCTGGGTTGAGATCCCAATGCCTGATGGGGCTAAAACATTGTCGCGGGTGGTTCTGGGTACATATCGTCAGCCCCCCGTTCCCTCCCTCCCCCCGTGAAAGCAAGGGCAGACAATCATTTCGCGCCTTTTTTCCTGAGTTACCTGTGCAGACGCCATACCACGGCAAGCATGGAGCCCGCTCAGGTAACCGTCACCCTATGTCTCCTGGGTGCTGGCAGACGCGGTATGGCATTGCTACACAGTAGCAGCAACCCCTTGCCTTGTGGCAGCAGACGGTACAGTACGACTGGTAGCCGTCATCGTCATGTCTGAGGTGCTCCTGGTCGCCTCTGTGAGGTCGATCAGGAGCGCCTGGGCAGACATGGGCGCAGGGACTAAATTTGGAGTGACTTGAGCAGGTCATTCTCTTTAGTCCTGCAGTCAGTCCTATTGAACCGTCTTATGGTGAGCGGGCAGGCGCTACGGACTGCTAGCAGTCGTACTGTACCATCTTCTGCCGAGCAGCCATGAGATGTGGATGGCATGCAGTCCTTCTGCACCGTCTGCTGCCAGCCAAAGATGTAAAAGATAGATGGAGTGGATCAAAACAAGAAATAGACCAGATTTGTTTTGTACTCATTTGCTTCCCCCCCTCCCCTGTCTAGGGGACTCATTCTTCTAGATCACACTGCAGTCACTTACAGAGAAGGTGCAGCGAGGTAAATCTAGCCATGTATCAATCAGAGGCCAGGCTAACCTTCTTGTTCCAATAAGGACAATAACTTAGGTGCACCATTTCTTATTGGAACCCTCCGTGAAGTCCTGCCTGAAATACTCCTTGATGTAAAGCCACCCCCTTTGTTGATTTTAGCTCCCTGAAGCCAACCCTGTAAGCGCCCCTCCCAGCGTCAGAGCAATGGCAAACAATCGGGCATCTGAGAGTGCTGTCCAGAGCAGTCACAATGGAGCACTCTGATGGGGCTAAAACATTGTCGCGGGTGGTTCTGGGTACGTGTCGTCAGGCCCCCGTTCCCTCCCTCCCTCCGTGAAAGCAAAGGCAGACAATCATTTCGCGCCTTTTTTCCTGAGTTACCTGTGCAGACGCCATACCACGGCAAGTATGGAGCCAGCTCAGGTAACCGTCACCCTATGTCTCCTGGGTGCTGGCAGACGCGGTACGGCTTTGCTGCACAGTAGCAGCAACCCATTGCCTTCTGGCAGCAGACGGTGCAATACGATTGGTAGTCGTCCTCGTCGTGTCCAAGGTGCTCCTGGCCACGTCGGCTGGGAGCGCCTGGGCAGACATGGGCGCAGGGACTAAATTTGGAGTGACTTGACCAGGTCATTCTCTTTAGTCCTGCAGTCAGTCCTATTGAACCGTCTTATGGTGAGCGGGCAGGCGATACGGACTGCTAGCAGTCGTACTGTACCATCTTCTGCCAGGCAGGCAAGAGATGAGGATTGCTAGCAGTCGTATTGTACCATCTTATGCCAGGCAGGCAAGAGATGAGGATGGCTAGCAGTCGTACTGTACCATCTTCTGCCGAGCAGCCATGAGATGTGGATGGCATGCAGTCCTCCTGCACCGTCTGCTGCCAGCCAAAGATGTAAAAGATAGATGGAGTGGGTCAGAACAAGAAATAGACCAGATTTGTTTTGTACTCATTTGCCTCCTCCCCTGTCTAGATCACACTGCAGTCACTCACAGAGAAGGTGCAGCGAGGTAAATCTAGCCATGTATCAATCAGAGGCCAGGCTAACCTCCTTGTTCCAATAACAACGATAACTTAGGTGCACCATTTCTTATTGGAACCCTCCGTGCAGTCCTGCCTGAAATACTCCTTGATGTACAGGCACCCCCTTTGTTGATTTTAGCTCCCTGAAGCCAACCCTGTAAGCCGTGTCGTCAGTCGCCCCTCCCTCCGTCAGAGCAACGGCAGACAATCGTTCCGCGCCTTTTTTCTGTGCGGACGCCATACCAAGGCAAGCATGGAGGCCGCTCAGCTCACTTTGGCAATTAGGAGCACATTAAACACCACACGCATTATCCAGCAGTATATGCAGCACCAGAACATGGCAACGCGATACCGGGCGAGGAGGCGACGTCAGCGCGGTCCCGTGAGTGATCAGGACATGGACACAGATTTCTCTGAAAGCATGGGCCCTGACAATGCATGCATCATGGTGCTAATGGGGCAGGTTCATGCTGTGGAACGCCGATTCTGGGCTCGGGAAACAAGCACAGACTGGTGGGACCGCATAGTGTTGCAGGTCTGGGACGATTCCCAGTGGCTGCGAAACTTTCGCATGCGTAGGGGCACTTTCATGGAACTTTGTGACTTGCTTTCCCCTGCCCTGAAGCGCATGAATACCAAGATGAGAGCAGCCCTCACAGTTGAGAAGCGAGTGGCGATAGCCCTGTGGAAGCTTGCAACGCCAGACAGCTACCGGTCAGTTGGGAATCAATTTGGAGTGGGCAAATCTACTGTGGGGGCTGCTGTGATGCAAGTAGCCCACGCAATCAAAGATCTGCTGATATCAAGGGTAGTGACCCTGGGAAATGTGCAGGTCATAGTGGATGGCTTTGCTGCAATGGGATTCCCTAACTGTGGTGGGGCTATAGACGGAACCCATATCCCTATCTTGGCACCGGAGCACCAAGCCGCCGAGTACATAAACCGCAAGGGGTACTTTTCGATAGTGCTGCAAGCTCTGGTGGATCACAAGGGACGTTTCACCAACATCAACGTGGGATGGCCGGGAAAGGTGCATGATGCTCGCATCTTCAGGAACTCTGGTCTGTTTCAAAAGCTGCAGGAAGGGACTTTATTCCCAGACCAGAAAATAACTGTTGGGGATGTTGAAATGCCTATATGTATCCTTGGGGACCCAGCCTACCCCTTAATGCCATGGCTCATGAAGCCGTACACAGGCAGCCTGGACAGTAGTCAGGAGCTGTTCAACTACAGGCTGAGCAAGTGCAGAAGGGTGGTAGAATGTGCATTTGGACGTTTAAAGGCGCGCTGGCGCAGTTTACTGACTCGCTTAGACCTCAGCGAAACCAATATTCCCACTGTTATTACTGCTTGCTGTGTGCTCCACAATATCTGTGAGAGTAAGGGGGAGACGTTTATGGCGGGGTTGGAGGTTGAGGCAAATCGCCTAGCTGCTGGTTACGCGCAGCCAGACACCAGGGCGGTTAGAAGAGCACAGGAGGGCGCGGTACGCATCAGAGAAGCTTTGAAAACCAGTTTCATGACTGGCCAGGCTACGGTGTGAAAGTTCTGTTTGTTTCTCCTTGATGAAACCCCCCGCCCCTTGGTTCACTCTACTTCCCTGTAAGCTAACCATCCTCCCCTCCTCCCTTTAATCATTGCTTGCAGAGGCAATAAAGTCATTGCTGCTTCACAGTCATGCATTCGTTATTCATTCATCACACAAACAGGGAGATGACTACCAAGGTATCCCAGGAGGGGTGGTGGAGGAGGGAAGGAAAATGCCACACAGCACTTTAAGCACAGCACTTTAAAAGTTTACAACTTTAAAATTTATTGAATGACAGCCTTCTTTTTTTTTGGGCAATCCTCTGTGGTGGAGTGGCTGGTTGGCCGGAGGCCCCCCCACCGCGTTCTTGGGCGTCTGGGTGTGGAGACTATGGAACTTGGGGAGGAGGGCGGTTGGTTACAGAGGGGCAGCAGTGGCAGTCTGTGCTCCAGCTGCCTTTGCTGCAGCTCAACCATACACTGGAGCATACTGGTTTGGTCCTGCAGCAGCCTCAGCATTGAATCCTGCCTCCTCTCATCACGCTGCCGCCACATTTGAGCTTCAGCCCTCTCTTCAGCCCGCCACTTACTCTCTTCAGCCCTCCACCTCTCCTCCCGGTCATTTTGTGCTTTCCTGCACTCTGACATTATTTGCCTCCACGCATTCGTCTGTGCTCTGTCAGTGTGGGAGGACAGCATGAGCTCGGAGAACATTTCATCGCGAGTGCGTTTTTTTTTCTTTCTAAGCTTCACTAGCCTCTGGGAAGGAGAAGATCCTGTGATCATTGAAACACATGCAGCTGGTGGAGAAAAAAAAAGGGACAGCGGTATTTAAAAAGACACATTTTATAAAACAGTCACTACACTCTTTCAGGGTAAACCTTGCTGTTAACATTACATACATAGCACATGTGCTTTCGTTACAAGGTCGCATTTTGCCTCCTCCCACCGCGTGACTACCCCCTCAACCTTCTCCCCTCCCTGTGGCTAACAGCGGGGAACATTTCTGTTTAGCCACAGGCAAACAGCCCAGCAGGAATGGGCTCCTCTGAGTGTCCCCTGAAGAAAAGCACTCTATTTCAACCAGGTGACCATGAATTATATCTCACTCTCCTGAGGATAACACAGAGAGATAAAGAACGGATTTTGGTTGAATGCCAGCAAACATACACTGCAATGCTTTGTTCTACAGTGATTCCCGAGTACGTGTTACTGGCCTGGAGTGGTAAAGTGTCCTACCATGAAGGACGAAATAAGGCTGCCCTCCCCAGAAACCTTTTGCAAAGGCTTTAGGACTACATCTAGGAGAACCGCAAATGCCAGGGCAAAGTAATCCTTTCACATGCTTGCTTTTAAACCATGTATAGCATTTTAAAAGGTACACTCACCAGAGGTCCCTTCTCCGCCTGCTGGGTCCAGGAGGCAGCCTTGGGTGGGTTCGGGGGGTACTGGCTCCAGGTCTAGGGTGAGAAACAGTTCCTGGCTGTTGGGAAAACCGGTTTCTCCACTTGCTTGCTGTGAGCTATCTACAACCTCCTCATCATCATCATCTTCTTCGTCCCCAAAACCTACTTCCGTATTGCCTCCATCTCCATTGAAGGAGTCAAACAACACGGCTGGGGTAGTGGTGGCTGAACCCCCTAAAATGGCATGCAGCTCATCATAGAAGCGGCATGTTTGGGGCTCTGACCCAGAGCGGCTGTTCGCCTCTCTGGTTTTCTGGTAGGCTTGCCTCAGCTCCTTCAGTTTCATGCGGCACTGCTTCGGGTCCCTGTTATGGCCTCTGTCCTTCATGCCCTGGGAGATTTTCAGAAAGGTTTTGGCATTTTGAAAACTGGAACGGAGTTCTGATAGCACGGATTCCTCTCCCCAAACAGCGATCAGATCCCGTACCTCCCGTTCGGTCCATGCTGGAGCTCTTGTGCGATTCTGGGACTCCATCATGGTCACCTGTGCTGATGAGCTCTGCATGGTCACCTGCAGCTTGCCACGCTGGCCAAACAGGAAATGAGATTCAAAAGTTCGTGGTTCTTTTCCTGTCTACCTGGCCAGTGCATCTGAGTTGAGAGTGCTGTCCAGAGCGGTCAGAATGGAGCACTCTGGGATAGCTCCCGGAGGCCAATACCATCGAATTGTGTCCACAGTACCCCAAATTCGAGCCGGCAACGTCGATTTAAGCGCTAATCCACTTGTCAGGGGTGGAGTAAGGAAATCGATTTTAAGAGCCCTTTAAGTCGAAATAAAGGGCTTCATTGTGTGGACGGGTGCAGGTTTAAATCGATTTAACGCTGCTAAATTCGACCTAAAGTCCTAGTGTAGACCAGGGCTCAGTCACATGACTCCAGAAGTTGGGGCTTCAAAAAAACCACCAAATATTGTGAGCCTTGTGATAAAATTGTGAGTTGGCAACTTTGCAATAACAAATATAGCATCAAATTTAGTTATTTTAAAAATTTAACCTACAATTCAAGTTAAAAATCCTAAAATACAAAATTATCAGTTTCTTACCATTTATTTTCTTTTCCATTTCCCAAGTAAAGTGGCGTTTTTCTCCTGCTCTGGCCCCAATAGGGAGACAAGAGTTTCTGCTCCCACACTCCACAGTGGGAAACACTGTGCCCTATAATTACCACCTCCACTCACATCCTAGGTTAGTGCTGTAAGTGGCTGGGCCCAGGTCCTTCTCGCCTGGCTGATACCAGTGCTGCTCCCGGTGCCCGGGAAATGCTGCTGCAGCTGCCTGCCGATAAGGACAAGGAGAATGGCTTCCCGGATGCTTGCAGGGTTGCTCTCTGCTGGGAAAGATGAGTGAGGGTCACTGCTGAGCGTAAACTGGGACACTATAAGGACTTGATCCTGCAGCAACTTTTGTTTGGAGCCCTCTAGCCATTCAAAGCCTTGCTGAAGCCATGATGCAGGATTGGAGCATTAGGTGTCTACTTTAAGCCTCCAAATTTCCAGCATAGATTTGAAAAATGAGCCTGTTCTGGAGAAAATGGAGCAGCTGGTCACTCTTGTAGTGTTTTTTGTTTTGGTTTGGTTTTTAATCTGATAAGATCTTTTGAGCACTTTTTAGTTAATAGCTGTACAGATTATTCCTCTACCTGAGGATACCCCTTTTCTAATGATTCTACCCTTTATGTTCTGGGAAATACAAAACTAAATCTTACTTCCCACTTGTGTGTTTTATTTCAGTTGCCATTTTGACTTGGCGTTTTGGATTTCAGCTCTACTTAAGTGATGAGTTTATATAAAGGGCTTTCTGATTAAAGCCAGACTTCTTTTAATCAGAGCAGACCACATGTTTGTAAGTCATTGATGTTAATAGCTGCCCTTGGGCAGTCATCATATAGAACTCTTGTAACAATCAACAGTCTTATGGGAATTCAGAGTGCTCAGCTCCTTGCAGGATCAGAATTTAAGGGATATATTTAAATAATCCTGGACACAGAGTGGACCTTCATAAATTACCTGTATAATTGGATCAAATGGGAATGCTATGTTCTTGATTCTTGGACATTGTATAGATAGGGTGACCAGATAGCAAGTGTGAAAAATCAGGACAGAGGGTGGGGGGTAATAGGCCCCTATAAAGTTGGGACATCTGGTTACTCTATGTGGAGATTATTTTCTGCTCACTTGGTTTATGGTAGCTAATTCTTGTGGGTTTTTTTTTGTTCACTAAACATCTTTCCATTTTAAGCTTTGTTCACACACAAACTTGCACCAGTTTAATTAAACCAGTGCAAACCTCTGTCTGGATGCTCTGGCTTCCTTTTGACAGTGGTTTATTTTGGTTTTTCTCTGTGCCTAATCAATTTAAACTAAACTGAAATAAGTGTCCACATAGCCTTTTAGACCATTTTAAATGACACCTTAAATTAAGCCAGTGCAACTCTGAATTGGACAAGCCCTTATTCAACCCTATTTTGTGATATTTGAGAGATGAATCTGACCAAAGAAGTCCACTGACAGCAATGGGGCTCACGAAATAAGGATTGAGCCCAAAGGGCCTAATTCTGATTAATATTAAGTAACCTTTCTCTGGCAGTATAAAGGTCTCTTAAAATGTATATAAATTATGCTTGCAATCACTGTAAGACTCCTTTATATTGGCAGACTTGTATAAAGAGGCCTTCATGTAAATGAGAATCAGGCCCTATGTATTCACTGAAACATGAGATTAGTCTTATATGGAGGTCATGATTTATAATGTAAAACTATGATCAGATTGAAAAGATGGCAAATCTTCTCTGATGGGATGGCAAAACCTTAATGCCGAAACATATATAGGGTGATAGTGGAGAGCAAATTGGACACATTTTGCATTGTGCTATAGGAGAAGAAAAGGCCAATGCAATGTCATGATCTATGTGTGTATGGAGAGGAATCGCTTCATGGGACGTGTGTAGAGGAATATTAAATCAGGGGACAGAGGTTATACTTCACTTCTATAAAGCTCTTGTGCAGCTGCACCTGGAATATTGCATTCACTTCTGGCCACCTGAGTATCAGGAAGACATTGAGAAAGTGGAGGGAGTTGAGAGCAGAGTAACACAAATGATTAGGAGGCTGAGGGAATGACTTATGAGGAAAGATCATCTTAGTTAAGTGACTTAAGGGGAAAACATAAGTTTACAAGTCGTTAAAGAGTGTAAACATCAAGGATGGAGTGGCAATACTGAATATAATCAAGAGGGTAGTGGAAGGCTAAAAAGAGGGGAAATGGGAGTTTGGGGGGGAATCTAGTATGAATATCAGATGAAAGCTTTCTGTCAGTAAGATCTAGTCATCTTGGATTTACTTGTAGACTCTAAGGCTAGAAGGGAACATTGTGATCATCTAGTCTGACCTCCTGCACTTTGCACGCCACAGGACCTCACCCACCTACTCCTATAATAGACCCCTAACCGCTAGCTGAGTTACTGAAGTCCTCAAATAATGATTTAAAGCTTCCAGTTACAGAGACTCCACCATTTACACTACTGTAAACCTGCTGCAGGGGGAGGTGAAAACTCGCTGGGGTCTCTGCCAATCGGACCCTTCTCAAAAATGGCAATCCGTTAGACCCTGAGCATGTGGGTATGACCCACCAGCAAGATACTACAGAGAATTCTTTCCTAGGTAAGTCAGAGCCCTCCCCGTCTAGTGTCCCATCACCGGACATGAGAGATATTTGCTACTAGCAGTTGCAGATCTGTTACATGCCATTGTAGGCAGTCTTGTTATACCATACCATCCATAAATTTATCAAGCTCATTCTTGAAGTCAGTTAGGTTTTTTAGCCCCCACAACTCCCTTTGAAAGGCTGTTCCAGAACTTCACTCCTTTAATGGCTAGAAACCTTCATCTAATTTCGAGCCTGAACTTGCTGATGGCCAGTTTATATCTATTTGTTCTTGTACCCACATTGGCGCTTAACTTAAATAACTCCTCTCCTTCCCTGGTACTTATCCCTCTGATGTATTTATAGAGCACAATCATGTCACTCCTCAACCTCCTTTATTTTAGGCTAAACAAGACAAGCTCTTGTAGTCTCCTCTCATAAAGTAGGTTTTCCATTCCTTGGATCATCCTAGTAGCCCTTCTCTGCACCTGTTCCAGTTTGAATTCATCTTAAACGGGGGAGACCAGAATTGCACTCAGTATTCCAGATGAGGTCTCACCAGTCCCTTGTATATGGTACTAATACTTCCCTATCTCTAGTGGAAATATCTCACCTGAGAATTGAGTAATGCATGGCAAGAGACCATTTTGTAAACAGTGTCCTAACTTCTGTGTTCAGCTAAACTATCTCAGTTATTGGGCCTGCACTGGTGTAAAAGAATTGGGCCTAATGTTTCAGCTCTATTCTTGACTGCCACCAAAAGGGGAACACTGCTATCTAGTTTCAGAGTAGCAGCCGTGTTAGTCTGTATCCGCAAAAAGAAAAGGAGGACTTGTGGCACTTTAGAGACTAACAAATGTATTTGAGCATAAGCATTCATGAGCTACAGCTCACTTCATTGGATGCAAATTCTAATGATGAAATTGAACCCATGACTAGTCCTCCTTTCAGTGAATATAGAAGATTTCACACTACACTTGAATTCTGAGCCAAGCTATTCCATCACTGAAAACTTCCCTTCACAGAAGCAACTGTCAGAAGAAATCTTTTCTTTTTGCATGAAACATCCTCTGTCATAAAAATTCCAGACATCAATTGCATAAGCATGCATGTAAGCTCTCTTTTATTAATCAACTCCAGGTACCTAAAAACTGGGTTACTCCGTTCCTGAGCTGCAGAAAGACCACAGTTACTCTCAGTGCTATGAAAGCAGCAGAAAGTTGCTGAGTTAGGCAGGAATCAAAAACCATCTCCAGCAGCATCCTGCCACTCCCAGAAGTATTGCTTTTTGCAGTCTATAGTTTTAGAAATAACCAAAAATAAACCCTAACACTAATAGTAACCAATGTGACAATGGCAAGTTACAAAATGAAGCTGTACGTGTTTCCAAACAACCCTGTGTTTATATGTATAATCCAACATAATGAAATTACATCTACTACATTTTTTGCTAGACTGTCATCCAATGCCTTTTAACATGCAAGACGATTTCATGTTGTAATTTAAATACACTGGGACTGATTCACAGTAGTATAAATCAGCATAGTTCCATTGTCAATCGGTGGTATTAATAGAGCTAGGCCACTAATTATCTAAATTGGAGTCTTTATATATAAATAATATCGTGTCAAGGAAGGAGGTGCCTAATTAGAGCTTTCCTTATAACCAATCATGTCTGAAGATCTTGTCCATTACAGGAAGACCTATCAATCCATTCTAGGCCATGAAGTGGCATTGTAAATGACAGGTAATTTTATAGAAATATAGCTGAATTATCAGAATACAAGGGCAGAAGAAGGAAAAACTACAGTGTCAAGAGCGATATGGTGGGTAGTACTCTGACAGAGACCTTAACCCAACTTAGCCTACTTTTGAAAATGTTAAGTTATTTGGTGCCTCTATCTTTTAATTGAGGCACTGGGTCTCTGAAAATCAGGCTCCTGCATCGTGTTCCCCCCCGCCCCCAGCAGCCATCCTGGTGGGGAGCGGGATAGAGCCGCTCCCAGTCACCGCTCTGTGCAGCGTAGCCAGCTGCCTGGGAGACAGCCTGGCTGGGGAGGGATGGCAGCAGCAACCCGCTCAGTGCCTGAGCTCAGCTTCCAGGGACAGGGGCTGAGCTTGCCAGGAGGAGAGGGGGGGTCTCTGGCTCACTTGGCCCTTGTCTCCAGAAGCTGAACCTTGGCAAGGAGGGGGCAGTCTTTCCATGATGTCCCA